TTAGTATCAGAGCTAACTCAATCATAGTCCCATCCTAGAGTTTCTACCATCCGCCCCTACCCAGTTCACAACAACAATTTTTTTTCTTTTTTTTCATAGTACTTTCTTTTTTTGTTCCTTATTTCTTTCCTTCCACAGATTCCAAACCCTAACCATGCCACAACGGAGATCGATGCTCAAGTCTACCCGGGATGAGATACTGTGAGAACACTGCCATCTTCAGCGGAGGCCTATATATATTGAAGAGAAAATCCAGTTGGAGGATACCCTTGATTGTGGTCTTGAAGGTCGAAAGAAAGACCGACAAAATATGAAGATAAGGCGAGAAATACAACGCCAGTTCCTACCACCTTACTACCGCCAAAAGTGGTAGACTTTAGCTTCCCAAATGGAGATACCGTATCACCAACCAACTCCCACTGCTACTATCCAACAAAGCCAATCCGCAAATCTATCATAGTCAGAAGAAGTTGCAAGTGTCACGGATTTAGAAATATTGAAGCAGAATGCACAATCAAGATAGTGATATACTTCACCAAGTAGGGCATCATCGGAAAGTTGGGTAAAGACACCGCAAACACTGAAAAGCAGTTTGAATGAGAATTTTCATCCGATGATGTCTTCCCCCGGAACTACCTTATTCGTGGATGCATCTAATGTCTTTCCTCCATGTCCTCAAAAGGAACATAAAGCTTTTGATCAGATAATTCCTACTCTCCTAGAAGATGGAGAAATTATTGTTGAGACATACAAAGTTCACACAGAGCAGAAAGTGTTAGAATTTAAAATTTCAGTGGATTGTCTTAATAACGACCAACTGATAGCATTATTTGCGGTTATACTTCCAGCCCTCACTCCCAGTGTTCCACATGAAAAGACAAAAGGTCGGGGTGAGCTCTTGTTATTAAAACGAAGCGGAAGATGTCAGTTCTCCAAAATGTCAATAATCAGAGAGACCCAGAGATAATAAGAATCACCCATCAACCAAACTCTTGCAAACCCTTAAACCCGTTGAGGCTCAACTTGTCATAAATGAGAAGCATATGAGATATTTATTTGTTCAGAATTTGGCTCGAGAAAACCTACGTCGATGTGTACATTCGGCTCAGATTATGTCGGACCATAACATATCGATAGGGAGGTATGTTGACAGAAGGGAAAAGCTCCTCAGACGCTTTGGGAGCCAGAGCAATCGTATGTTGGATCCAGGAACGACCACAGAGAACCATAAACTTCGACATATGAAGTCGAAACTCCTCCAACCCCGGGAGACTGACGCGGGGCTCGGGGGAGGACTGGTCAATCCTAAAGGGACTTCCTAGCACTTTTCCTTCTCTTTCCCCTTTCTTTTTCTTCCTCTTCTTTCCTCACCTTTCCTTTCTCTCTCCCTCCACCTTTCCTTCCTGGGCACTTTCCTATTTTAAATCCTTCCTAAACTCTGAAATCATGATTATCTTTTATTCTCCGTTCTTATTTTAAATATTTTTATTTGCCGGGAATTGTAAATTTGTTCCTGCTTTCAATTACGGGCATTTTGATTTTTTTTAATCTATTCAAGCTTGAATTTTAGTTTACTGGTTTCTATCAGGCTTTGGAAATTGTATTGGTAAATGATGATCTAGCCCTTGATAGCTTTAGCTGCTTCATTGGTTGCTCTAGTCGTTAGTTTGCTTTTTGGTAATATCTAAAAAAGTTGGTCATTTAAACACATTACTGATCCACAGCTGCTTTTATAGTGGTTCTTATACTTGGTGTTATAATTCCCAAAATAGTTAAAATTTTGCACTTCAAATGGCTGTTGTCATGGTTGCTGTTATAGTTCCTTTAGTACTTACCTGCTGTTCTTAACAATCATTTTTTGATATCTCGGGTATATTTCAAGAAGTGATGGTGATATAGATGGCTTCGGTATAAATGAAAAATTTTTAAGTTGGTGGCAACACTCTTAACTGATATCAGTTACTTGGAAAATATTTTACTTCGATTCCTGGATTCATTTTATTATGGAAATTGGTAAGTACCTAATCATCTTTAATCCAATGTTGTTGTTATACTCGAGTGTCGCTATTATACTCGAGCGGTGCCATTTATTTTTCTGCTTCGCTTCCTGGTTTCAAGTAAAGGCATTCGTTTTATGAAACTAGTAACAGCTGCTTTTAAAACGCTTTTATCTGCCACAGTTGATTTATGAAAAAAAAAAACACTGGTTTATGAAAATATGCATTGATTTATGAAAAAAAAACATGGATTTTCAAGAAAGATTGGCATGCATAAAACTCAATTCCTATGCATTTACGTATATAAGGCCTTAAGCTTCATTTTTTTTAATTACTTGTCACCTTATCTGTGCTTGAATGGGTTTATTTCTCCTTTTAAAAGTTATATGATGGTATTTTATCTGTAATATAAAAGATTTTGGGTGGCGTAATGATTAAAGGGAGGAAAAAAGTTTATATGTTAGATATGTGAAAATAGAGTATTTGGCTTATATGCATGTAAACACCCCTTATTTTTTGTATAGTAAAATCGCAATTGGAGCATCAGGTGATATCAAAACTTTCTGGGGATCAATTACTAAAGGGAATGGGATCAAATTCAAAACAGCTTTGCTTGTTGTTTTCGTATGTTTTACCTGCAATGCTTTAGAATGCAATACTTGTGATGCTTTAGACAAAGTATTGCTTTGCCTTCACCTTTAAGAGTTCGGTTTGTTACTTGCTAGTGCTTACTTGGTCTTCCTTGCAAAAATTAATGTGAAAATCAAATTATTTTGCAGGATTACATAATCAAAATGAGCTCAAGCAATTCGTCGAGCTTTAGGGGACCAAACACTGAGCAGTATATTGTGATTGCAACCTCCTTTGTATTGTGTCTAAGGGAACCAAACACAGAAAGGCAACAATATTGGATGCAAGTTTTATAGATGTCTCACAAATAGAGACAACATGTTTATTCAATGGGCTGATGAATCGAAGTATGCAACACTGGAGCGAAATGATGAAAAGATAATGACATTTGAAGACATGGTGAGGGATAATCTTAAAGAGCTGAAATTTCTTGTGAAAAACTTGTTCTTATTTCATTTTGTAATCATAGCACTATTTTATTGTTGTTGGTGTTGTTTTTTATTTAGTGATGATATAATTTGAAGGACAAACAGTGCTACTTTAAGTGTTTTTTGGTAGACAAACTCATCTATTTAGATGAGATACAATTTATGTTGGAAGTAATATTTATATGATTATTTTGACGGGAAAAAATTGGGTTAATATTTATCATGACTTCTCTTATGGCATTGAGTTTGAAAGATAACATTAAAAATTATCATTGGATTGACTAAACAAGAAGCACTTTAAAAACTGTGTTTCCAAACAGTTTAAACCAATCTGTGTTTCTATATGGAGAGCATTACAATCATTCTGTCGACAGACAGCGCTTCCAGAACAGTGTTTTTTAAACAGACCAGCTGTTTTTGAAATACCAGCTCATAAACAACAACTTTTCAATAGCAGCTTCTCAAATCAGCTTTTGCTACGGTCGAAGCCGAAATAAATGCACCCTAAGTTTAAATTGTGGGAACAATAAAACGCTAGCTTTGGTATCATTCAATATCAAAAAATCGGCATCGTCCTTGTGCATATCTAGGTCTATGCAATCAAATCTACTAACAGTTATGATCATGCTCAATTTCTCCAATTTAATTCACTTTGTCTCGCTTTTGTTTGCTGTGCCTCCTCTCTCACCCCTTATTAGTGGAATCAACTAACATAGGTTCAGTTGAACAGGTGGCAATCGGTTTAAATATAAATCTTATGATTGACTTTTACATTGTTGTGAATAGTAATTGAGAGGATAGTTAGAGTTCATAATGTCAAATGGTTGTGATGGACCGATGATAATATCAATGATAAACTCAAACATACACAGAAGTTTGTAGTTTAGATTTTGAATCGTGTTCAATTTTAGATTTATTTGTACGTGTAAGTTCTGGCTCAGTCCCTAAAAGCAATTTCTGTATTAGTTATTGGGGAAGCTCAAATTGAGATTCACATTCTATATTGCATGCAAATTCATTCTCCATTTATAATCATCTCCTAAATCTAAAACTCAAGAAGTAAATTTGATACTTTCATGGTAGCAACTTTAGTAGGCTTAAACTTGACCTTATGCGATGGCAATGCTTATTATGGGCTGTTATGATGAGATGTAAAAGAAATCTCCAGACAAATACAAAATAGCGTGCATGTTATTGACATCATCAATCTTATCAATAGCATATATTATTTGGTTAATGTAGGAAGAATTCTCAAAACAACCCTTCAAATACAGAATTTTCAACCAAACCAAAAACTCTAAAAAATCTGACATATGGTTGGAATGTGTGTCGGTTGAAGAGATTGAGGTAATACGTCGGGTTAGGATTAGCACCTAACTTAACTTGAACACCCAAATCATAGCCCTGAAAACATACACAAGCACTAACCTAAACAGAAAAATAAACATTTTCAATAAATAGTATCATGCTTATGTCATAAATGAAGCAACTATTATTATCAATAATTATGTGTTCCAGTTTTGAAGGTTCATTTGCAAAAGAGAAAATCAAGGCGTTGTCAGATGATGTAATGTAATCCTAAAAAAAAGCATAAAATGATTATTAAAAAAAAAACTTATACCATCGGATGTAAGTTTTTTCATGGCAAGCACATTTAAAAAAACACAAAAAAAACATAATTTGACTGATGTTATAGAACATAGATCACAAAAAAAACATCTTACAAATTTTTCATTTAAATCTTTAAAATTATCAAGATAACTTGAGTTAATAATTTATAACAGATAAAACAAAGAAACAAAGCACAGGCTATGTTAATTTACTTTTTTTGACAGCTGATACGAGAAGAAAAAGAATAAAAGGGTCAAATTTCTACAATCACCTAATTAATTTTTGCATCAAGTTACTAAGATAATAAGATTGACCTGAAAAACAAATAACATACTTGCATCACTTAAATCCATAAAAAAGCGGAAAACTGGTCCATTTGCTTCATTCTTGGTGACCCTTGCAAATAACTTCTTAACCCAATCAGGCGCCCTGGAAGAGAAAGTCAAGTCAACAATAAAATCAAACTCCAGGATGAGCCAAGATAGACATTTGTCGGTATATGCCATCAAATTTCCTCACAGTTTAGTGTTATCTCAATCCCCCAAGGCATTGAAAGCAAGATCCTCAAATGTAAGATAAATTTATTTTCTTAAAATGATGTGCTAAAATGAAATTTAAAATTAATAAAACATGAACATTACTTGAATATATTGGGTAGAGCAGAAGTTTATGAATTAACATTTCCAACCAATTCGGCTGGGAGCAATAAAAAGGCCAAACCTGATAAGAGGCTTGCAAAATAAAAAAAAAAACTTCAAAGGGTCATCATAAGCAGCAATACACAAGAAAATCATATTGGTTCTATTTGATCAAAATTTATATAAGATTTCGTTGAGTTTACAAATCTCCATCAAGCTCTCTTTGATATTTGATTTTGTTACACGATGAATATTCAAAGGCCTATTAGTTATTAAATTAAACAGTACCTAGAGATTTCAGACACGTATGAACTACAAGATTAGGCTCAAAATTTCCCGTAAACAAACGCCCCTCATATTAATTACCCTCCTCAAGTATAGGAAAGCATTTATTATTATGGATAATACAAAGGCACTACAATGCCTTGCTTTAATAGCAACAATTGGGATCAAATAAGAGAATATATTCCTATTAACTTAAGAGAAGATATTAGAGGAATGATAGCAAACCGAATTGATATTCCACCGGTCAATCATCTCGAGTTTACTTAGTCAATGGAGATAGTCGACCCAATGATCATTGTCATTCAAAGAGACCTCATAAATATTAGGGAAAAAACTTTCTAAAAAAAATACTAATTCTAAGTTAGAATTTTTCTAGCAAAGGACTTTATACCTTATCAAGTACGACTTATGGCTCACAACTCATTAATGTAGCCATTAGGGAACATTCGAGCTTATCTCATACTCCAATAAAATGGCATCATATAATTAGGCCAAATGCATGGTCAAAAAGTACATGTCAGATCCTTACTGGAGTGAGATTTTTTAGTATAATTATATAAACGAATGTAAAATAATATTAATATTTTTTTAATGCTAAATAAACTAAAATTTGTTATCTTTAACAAACTACAACAATAATAACAAAGCCTTAATCCCACAACGTGGGCTACATGAATCTTTTTTCTCCATTGTGTCCTATTTAGTGTCATATTTTCATTTAGTTCTGATAAATTAAGATAATTTTTTATACATTAAGCCCAAGTCTTCCTAGGTTTACTTCTGTGTTTCTTAATATAAGTCGAATCTAAAACATCTACTCTCCTAATCGAATCATCCGATGGTCGACGTTTAATGTGACCAAAACATCTAAGACGACTCTCTCTAATTCTGTCAGTCACTGGAGCTACACCAACCCTATCACGAAGATATTCATTTCGCAATTTGTCTCAAAGTGTAAAGCCACTCATCCACCTAATCATTCTCATCTCGACAACACTTAACTTAGTATTATGCTTCTCTTTTAAAGGCCAACATTCATCACCATAGAGCATTGTAGGCCATAGAGCATTGCAGGTCTCACCACCGTCTTAGAAATTTTTCTTTTCAGTCTTTTTTAGTCTAAGCGGTATTTTTCAATCACACAAAAGGCCCGAAGCATTCCTCCACTTCAACCAACCAACTTGAATTCTACTATTAACATCTCCATCTATATCACCATCGCTTTGAACAACAGACCTGAGATATCTAAATGATTCACATCTTTTAATAATTTGATCACCCAAAGTTACACTTCTGTCATTAGAGCTACTACTACTAAAATTACATTCCATGGATTTAGTTTTAGTTCTACTCAAATGAAGGCCTTTAGACTCCAATGTAGACCTCCATAATTCAAGTTTTTCCTAGACTTTTTCTCTCGTCTTATCCACGAGAAGGATATCATCAGAAAAAAGCATGCAACAAGGTTCATCCTCCTGTAAATGTCCAGTAAGACCATTCATAACTAAAGCAAAAAGATAAGGGCTTAAAGCCGACCCATGATGTAATCCAACGGAAATAGGAAAATAATTGGTCAATCCTCCTTCAGTTCGAACACAAGTAACAGCTCTAGCATACATATCTTTAATGACTGGAACATAATTCATATCAACACATTTCTTCTCAAGTTCCAAAGGATATCGCTTGGAACCTTATTGTAAGCTTTTTCAAAATCAATAAAAAACAAATAAAAATCAAATGTATCAAATGTAGATCCTCCTCATTATCTCTGAACTTCCCCATCAAACCTCTCAATAAATGTATAGCTTACAAAGTAAATCTGTCCGACATGAATCCTAATTGATTATGAGAAATCTTTGTAATATGTCTTAACCTATGTTCAATTACTCTCTCCCATAATTTTAAAGTATGACACATCAACTTAATTCCCCTATAATTTGCACACTCTTGTGCATTCCCTTTATCCCTTTAATTCCCTTTATTCTTAAAAATGGGGACCAAACTACTCTTCCTCCACTCCTAAGGCATATTTTTAGGTTTTAAAATAATATTAAAGAGTTTAGTAAACCAAGAAACTCTCAAATCTCATAAATATTTTCACACTTCAATTGGGATATCATCAAGTCCTACAGACTTTCCACCTTTAGTTTTCTTTAAAGCCTCATCAACTTCTTTTTTACCAATGCAATGATAAAAATTAAACGTTTTATTATTATTAACGATATTAGATCATTAAGGTCGATCGTAATTTCAAAAACTTCATTAAAAAGTTTATCAAGATAACTCACCCACCAATGTTGAATATATTTTTCTAAGAAAAACAGTTTTTGATTTTCATCTTTAATACACTTTACTTGAGTTAAATCTTTACTTTTCTTTTCTCTTTGTTTGGCTAGTTTAAATCAATCATCGGGGTAAATATGTGCCTCAAAGATTTCACATGTTTCCATGATAATGACATGAAAAATGCAAAAGCATTTAGTTTATATAAAAGTTAATATCATGAGCCATGTCAACCATTTATTTATTCACAAAGAATTGAGTTCAAAATTTTGTAAATTTATAAGGCTTGTCAGCACTATCTATTCATTCATTGAGCATCAAGCCTAAACAAATTTATGCATATGTATGACATTCAAATTCAATTTCAAAAACATTAGATTATAAGATTAATAATATGGAAGGTTGGAGCTTAAATCCTGAAGATTTGAGAAAGGCTCAGAAGTCAAGACTCATGGACCTACTATTCAAGTGAGGCACTCCCCCTGACACATTTACATTACTTCTTATAAGATAATTATTATGCTCAAAAGCCTCATCAACAATCCTAGCTTACTTGCAAATAAATTCCACTTTTTTTGACATTTGTGCCTTTTCTTCTAATTTTTGGCCATTTGGAAAAGTTAATTCAAATTTTCTAAAGGAGAAAATAGGAGTATACAACGCTAAGTGAGTGTAAAAAGGCTCAAGAATGTTCAAAATATTTAATGAAAATTTTTAATCTTGTCTTTTTTATGGTTTTTAGAATTTTCTAGTTTTTCTTTAAATTCTCTTATTCTTAAATGACTCAAACTATTAAGAGCACTCATTGACCTTATTTATTCATGCACGCATGCATGTTATGTCTAGTTGTTTGAATCAAAGAATAAGTTTCATACTTTCTTAGGCGACATACATGCTCTTGAAGCAAACAAATTTGAGAACGTTTCTCAAAGAGTGTGTGTTGCACTTTAGAGTTACACTAATTTCAAATGCTGGAACCCTGATAGCGATAGCATTTTAATTGATATATCACGAGGATTCACATTTGGGCATGTCAAAATGTTTTTATGGAATATGCTTGCCTTATTGACATATCATGCACACATTTTAGAGCCACTTTGTTCATTTTCTTCTACAAATTTGTTTAAAATTGTGATAATGTTGATAATAAGTTTCTCAAAAGTTGCATAAAATAACTTCCGAATTTTCATTTTTATTTGTACAGTTTATTATGCAATTTGATTTGGGACATGTTTCATATTCTTTAATTCAGAGATTTAAGCTATTACATGTTTTTCAATGTGAGATACAATACTTCCATAGAAAAATTACACTTTTTTGAGCGACAAACATGTTCAAAAGTGAACTTTTGCCGACTAGTTCAAAAAATAGTCTTTAACTTGTACTTTATTTATGTCATACTCAGGCAAAACATACGAGAGAGAAATTTATTTCTATAATAGGAGCACCTTGCATGTCATTTTCATGCTGCTTTTATGCAGATAGTGCACGATAAGATGGCAGGGTGGATATCAGAATTTGCATTCATTGCAAACCAAAATTCATTTAAGCCTACTTTTCATTGTTTGCTCTTTTATTCAATGTCTTCTGCCATTTTAAGCATTCCCATTTTCTCAGTTCTACACTTTAGTTTAGTGTTTTATCTTTTTATCACATTATTAAGGTCCGGATATTAATCTGTTCAGCATTTTCTTTTTTAATTTTTGGTAGATTTCACATGTGCTACTACATGACTCTGGCGATGAGTGCCGCAAAATTTGAGTCTCCTGCTGTATTAGGAAAAGTGCAAAATGAGTAATGCAGGACATCACAGCTGAAATTAATTCTTCCACAACACAAAAAAAGTCATGTAAACAAAGTGCTTAAAACATTTTGATAAATATTTGTGCACAAAATGTATGAGAATTTTTAGGAGCTTTTTCTGCACAAAATGTAAGCATCGGTGAAATATACTCAACTTTGCATCAAGAAAGACAAGTTCGGGGAGCTTGCCATGAGACTTAAAACTACCTTGCATGCCTTCTTTTGATGTGTGAGATAGAGCAAAATGAAAAAAGGGCTTGTGACAAAGAAAACAGATAAGGAGAAAGAGGCTTATGACTGAAAATATAGCAAGAAAGAAAAATAGATGGAGGCTTGGGCATATGAAAAATGCTAAAGACCAAGAAAAAAATGTTAAAAAAATAGATAATTTTTTTATACTTTTCCTACCCCCTTATTAGA